TTCTGTAGCGGAGGGGACAATAATGAAGGCCTTGTTTTGTCAAAGCCAGTGGATGGAGAGCGACAGTTTTCTGTCAATGACTCCATTATTGGAAGACCTAGTGGGGGCTTCATCGCAAAGGTATTGTTCCTTTTATTTGAAGTCCGAGCTGAATCAACAAATGGAAGTACATCTTTGGCAAGCAAATTGGAAATATCATTACTGCCTCCCCTGCCCTCCTAGTTAGCGACCTTAAGAAACCACGACGGCGACGCCAAGGAAGACTTGGATTAAAAAATGAATTTCTACTCTTTGTTAGAATTTAAAAAAATGGTTGCAGGAGCTTACTGTCTCATACAGCGCCACAGCTCAACTTCAGCATGACGTGTAAAGTAGCCGTTGAGTTCCAAATGGAAATTAAAATAATTTGCCGTCGCGGTTTCGGTTCGCAGACGACGCACATTTTGGCGATTTCACGTTGGTGTTTTGCATAGGACGGCTAAGAAATGTACAAAGTTTGAAAACGCACGTGCTGAGCTATTGTTCTGCCAATTAGATCTCTTGTTTTTCCACGTCTAAGACGGCATGGACACATCGGCAATTAACAACACTAGAAGGGGACGAAGGGCCAAAGAACGTCATGGTAATTGTTTTGTATATGTGCCCCAACTAATTATGTCGGAGAGCGGGGATAAAGCTGTCTTTCTTGACCTTGTGTTTTTTACTGCTGACATTTTTGTTTTGATAATGTCTGAAATAGCCTCATCATCTTATCTTATATGATTCTGAAGGTTGTGGAAGTCTACTCTAGCGGAAATTTTCTTCTAGTGGAAGTAATTTCTGCCAACCTTGACGAAAATGGAACTATTATTACTGCTGTGGATATTAATATGCTGAAAAGTCACCACAGACGAAGGAGGCGCTCAACGAGATACGACTTTGAATTGGCAAGTTTTAAACCCAACAAAATACACCACAAGGTATACCACCTTTCAAACCTGAGAACTATGTCTCGGCTCAGTGAATTTTTCTGTATACAATCCATCTGAATCGTCTTCACCTTCCCTCATCATTAGTTATCACTACCCATCTAGCACCGGCACCTTTCATCCTTTAAAGGCTAATCAACCTTTGAGAGTTTTTCTTCTATTTAGTTAATTAATTAACCCCATTGGACCGCTGGTATGTCGGCTGATAATCTGAGAGATTTATTATTCAAAAAATAAATATATTTGGTTGAGGAGTGAAGCCTCCAGGGCAAATGTGAAAATTTTTGGTAGATAATTTCTCAGTCAAGGATATTATCAGCCTACACACCAAGAAGCTATTTATTTTTTATCTATTTTTTAACCCTCTTATCTGTATATGCAAAAGTGAACGAGAACGATTTGTTTGATATAAGTAGCTTATGAAAACGCGCAATGGGTGGGCTTTAATTGGTGATACTTTTGTTAGTCACATAAAGGCAGCGAAAAATGTGATAAAGCATTGGTTTTTTGTGAGATTGTATATTCCAATCACATACGTTCTGTGTAATTTCCAACTCAGTTCCTCCACAAAATACACTCCTGTAAAATTTTCATCTTCCTCAGCTGCTGTCAACAGGGATCGCCGAGCTGAAAGTCTCTTTGGGGATGTCCTTTACAATGAAAATGTTTCTTGAGATAGAGAAAAGTTGGCTCGGATTTGAAATAGAAGATGCTACTGCTGGTCTGGAGTTAGATGGAAGCTTAGATTTTTCTTTGACATTTACTGTTGGTGGGAAGCTAAGGTAGGCAATTTTATTTATCCCAGGTTAGATAAAATCAGTAAAATCTTCAATTTTTTTACAAAGCTGGCATTTTCCTTTTAAATTTGATTCTTGTGCGCCTTTTTTTTTTCGTTCCAAGACACTCGGGTTACGAATGAAAAAACGACTTAGCTTATAGGGTTTAATCATTCACCTTTTTTATTTTGTCTATAGGTATAACAAAGGTCTAAACGTCATGAGAGAAAAACAGCTCGGTCGTTCGATTTATATTCCCGTTGGGCCAATTAGAATTCCTGCTGGGCTTTTCTTAGGAATAACAGGACGTGCATCTATTGGATTATCTGTAAGTTGATGACGCTTTGTTGGTCGGTAAGTTGGAAATCAGTGCCTGGACGTAAGGATTGCGTCCTACCTGTACTTGTTGTCTTGAAATGATTAAGGACAAGCCAGGTACGAACCTGAGCCACAAAGACGATATTGAATTGATTACCGCAGTGCTATGACCATGTAGCTTGCAGCAGCAGTGACTGCTTTCAACTGGTTACGACAAAATAATTTGGATATATCAACAGAGTTGAAATGGCAAATTGGCTACCGTAACGATTACAAAAGCTGACGTTTCGAGCGTTAGCCCTTCGTCGGAGCGAATAGAGAAATTGTGGGTTGTGTTTGCTTTTAAAGGCAGAAAATGGAGCTACGTTATTGGTGGGAACATGGCAACGAGAAAAACAAGAATAAATTAGTGGAATGAAAAGCGTTCGTTGATCATCCCTGTTACATTGCCTGCTTGCACTTGGAGAGTGTGAGGGGACAGTTTACATATTATGGCAGTAAAATTAGCTACTATTGGGAAAAAAAGGCTTCAATCGCTCATTTTCCCTGAAATGATCACAGACTGATTTGAACTCAACTCGTTCCGATTTCCATAAATAAATTGGAAATAATTAATAGCTGAGACAAAAACAGGTCCTAGATCAATCTCGTCAGATATTATCTCTTTTCACCCAACAGTCTCATTTTAATCCAGATGTGATGGGAAACATACATTCTTTTTCTTTGCTAGTTTTTTCCTCATTTGATTGAATGTAGCACCTATTGCAACTCTTCAATCTGAGTTTGGAAGAGGTCCTCCGGGTAAAGTATTATCTTTAGTCTAAGGTAGAATTTGGTATCACTCCATCTTGACATTACCCACCTGTCTTTCAATTTAGATTGCAACAAGCATGTGCAAATCCTTGAACATTTCTGACAGCAATTTGAAAAGCTGCATATTCGATGTCGCCATGACCAATGACACGACATTCACTGATCAGGAAACCTTCAAGCAAGGTAAGCTTCTATAACTTTAGTATTATTTCCATTGTAATGAAACGTTAAGGGCCGCAGTCGTATGTCTTTAGAGTGTGAATGACAATTGTTTTTTTTTTTTTAATTTTCATTAAAATGGTACCCCTTATCACACGAAAATACAAATATTAGGTAAAAAAATAAGTGTTAACTTTTAAAGATATCATCACTGATAGACAGTTGAATTAAGCAAGAGAGCCTGAAAGTGTTAAAGTTCGCAAAACAACATTTTCGAAAAGAAATGAGAAGGCCGAAGCACTAACTTGCTCGCTTCACCATGTTCACGAGATCTGCTTTTTTGTGGTTAATATTTTAATTTCTTTTAAATAATCCATTCGGAAATTTCTCATTTTATCCAAGACTGTCCAGACCAATGCTCAGGCAAGGGGAGATGTGTCAATGGAACATGTAAATGCATCGAAGGCTGGACGGGGAAGAGTTGTGAAAAAGGTATTGGTTAATTAATCAACCTTTAACACAATAGGCAGAAATGTTGCAGTCTTATTGGCCAATTTGTCATTGACGATAATAGTACAAACAACGCTGCTCACGTCAACGTGAGTTCACACCATTTTGATCATCGTGATGACGAATATCGTTGTTAATAAGAATACAGACCATGCTAAACTACTGTCGATTTGTGAAACAAACTTCATTAGCAGGTGTAATTAACTATTGTAATTAACCATTGTAATTAACTATTGTAATTAACTATTGTAATTAACCATTGTAATTAACTATTGTAATTAACCATTGTAATTAAGACAAGGTGGACGACCGGATCTCTTTGTTAGAAGTCCATATTTTATGTTATTTCTCAGTGTTCTGTGCAAGAAATCCACCTACACTCAACAGAAGGGCTCCTTATTACTTAGTGCACAATTTGATAATTGAAGTTTGGGATCTGGTTTCTTTACTCAAGAATCGCTCCTCTTCGACGCTAACTTTATCATCGTAATTTTCTTTCCTTGAGGCTCTTGTTTGAACTGTTCAACAATCCATGGAGAGTGCGTTAAGGGATTTTGTGTCTGTAACCTGGGCTGGGAAGGACGAAGCTGTGAACAAGAAGGTTGTAGTCAGAGTTCAAGAAAACTACTGCGTTTCATCTCCTCCATTACATCGCATATATTTTAATTAAGTTGTAATATTGAAAACAAACCTCTTCTTTAGCTAAGTAATACTTAACTTGGGTTAATTTTTATTAGTGTTTTAAAAAACTGTTACTGTCACATGGGGACAACCTTTTTGGGTTGGCAGAGTTGATAAGATTTTCCCTTTTCTATCCTTTCGAAACAGATCTGTAGCGCGAGGTTTTAGTGCGAAGTTTTAATTTTTATTTTCATATATAATTGTATATATATAATTATTATATATATATATATATATATATATACATAGATATATATATATATATATAGATATAGATATAGGAAGTCTGCGTTTCGATTTTTCCGTATT